AAAAAAAAAAAAAAAAAACACAAAAACAAAGTTGTTCCACAATCTGTCAATTGATTTAACAACAATTTCCCTACATTTCATCCCTAAAGGCCATTTGCAAAAACACGCTCTGAAAGGCCAAGCACAAGACAGTTCTTCAAACAGCTCCACTACAGAAAGCAACATTTGCTCACGATGCGTACATTTAATCACATTCTTGTTCTAGAAGAAAAGCTTTTTAAAATTATTAGTATTTATTTCTGTTAGCAAGGGTGAGTCAATTCAATAACTCGGCAACCAGACTACTGTGGTTCATGCATCAGTGAGATTGATGTGACCAAATCCTCCTCGTATTTCTTCATATATTTCTCAATTTGCCTCCAATGAATACAGGAGCATAATCTAAGGTCCAGGAAGTTACACAGGAAAGATAAAGACAAAAATTAAGTGCAAAGAACTGATAGCGATGGAAAGTCTGGAAGAGAAAACAGTTTCAGGCTCCAGACCATCTTTACAAGACTGACAGGTAGAAAATCCGTTTTACCTTACAAGTTAAATGAAAATCTGGAAGAGAACCACTGAGACAAAAATCAAGCACCATTCTGATTTCAAATATAAGTTAGCATAGCACTGAAAAATAAAGTCAAAACCTAATTGGCTCTGCTTATCGCATGCGGTATTTCATCTCCTCTAAACTCCATAGCAAGGATTCCATAAATGCTATGAGAACTGAACAATCTGGTAGTTTAACAGCGATCTCAAGAGCACTACCTGTTCCACATAAAATTGCATGAGGCTGAAGTACTCCTCTCTCAAACACTCAACTTGTGCTCAGTTTCCTACACAATTTTTAATGACTTTATTAAAATACAGTTCAGAGGTACATGGAGAATGATATCTACTTTCCAAAACATGCTAAAATGCACTTAGGTTACATAAAAATATCCAGTAAACGTCGTGGCATATCTGAGAAATTCCTGGGTGTCATTTAAGAGATTTTTCAAAATTCATTAGGGTACAGGAAGAACCAGAATGACCAGTTAAAAATATGAATCTAAACAGTTTCATGCAGTTTGGATTTCAATACTTCTACAACAGGCATAAAATGAGCAGACTTCCGTCATAAGTTATACAGAGCAGCCTTATCCAATGAAGTTTATTGGAATGCTTTACTGTAACTCTTTCTTTCTATCAGCCTTTTTCTTTAAAGTAGTATTACAATAAAGAGACAGCTGAATACTCAACTTCTGGAGTCAAAAATGACTCCTCTACAAGAGTAACAGAATTAGAGGTATTACTTCCAACTCATGCCATCCACAGCAGTCCAATCTTCTACTTCACATCTCTACAAAACTGCCAACAGTACGTAAGAATACAGCATGAACTGCACACTGAACTCTACTGAAATGCAGAGACTGCCCAACTTCTCGTTACAGATATCTTCGCTAACTCACAAGGCAAACAACACGTTCATCCCAATCCCCCCTCCAAAAGAAAAAAAAAAAAAAGTACGTACAAGAAATCTAACCACAGAAGAAATAAATACTATATGTTGGTAAAAAAAAAAAAAAAAAAAAAAAAAAGTGAAAATAAAAAACTGAAAAATAATCTCACAAAATACACATACCAAGTTTCAGGGCAGAAGGAGTCACTTCAATCTCGCCTCCAACTGGTTGAAAGGCATCCAGCTGAGCTGCTACCTCTGTCTCAAACAGGTCTGGGCTATTTCTGTCTGTCACATTCCCATTGGTGCCATCAGACTTACGGTGAGGTTCTTGCTCATCATAAACAGCAATCAGCTATGAAAACAAAAGATAAAAAACCATTTGCATATTTTAAAGTGTTCCCAAACTCACTTTTTTTTTAAAATAAGAAGTGATCAGTTACAAGAGTAGAAAACAATTTTTCTTGAGAAGGCCAGTAATAATAAACATTCAGTAAAGCACATAAGTTCTTGCTTAAGCACATTCACTTCAATGTGACTTAAGTACATGCTTCCGCATTCCTTGGTGATGGCGTGCAGTTCTCAGAGCTAGCATGCTATGAATAGGGAACGTCTTCTGTTGTTCCAAAATATTTACAGCTGAAAATGCTTAAACACACAAACCAGCATTTAAATGTTGTGGGTAGGAGGGTGTTGTATTTCTTTAAATGTTTAGCGCTACTGTCAGACACGCTGGGGTGATGCGACACGGCCATGGAAGTTGCATGAAGCAAGCAGGTAAAGCTTTAGTTTATGAACACATAGTAATTTTATTAAAAGGACAAGTTGTAGACACCACAGTGACAGAGTAGAATTCCCTTAATCCCTGAACCTGTGCCTCTGTAAGAGCATAACATAGAGACACATACACATGTATGCACTCACAGATCTATCTTCAACAATTTCTCCCTATTCTCTCCCGCAAGTTTGTCCCACCTACTTTGTTTCCCTTAGTTACTGGTTATCCACAACTTCAGGCCCACAGGAAAGCATGGATAGGCTGCAAACTCTGCTATCCAAACTCACATTAAAGTTGGTATGGAAACAACAAAGACCATGAAAATAATTTGTGCATCAGCTAGCCTGGCCTACAAGGAACTTCCTCTTGGTCCCTACTACATACATCAGATACAGCTTCATCAACAAATGGCTTGTGTGTGATACAGTTCCAGAAGCCGGATAAAAAGAAAGAATAAATTCTTAATGAATCTAAAGAAACCAGACAACTGTCTGCTCCCAGCCAATGAGATACCCAGCACCGCAGAGCCCTCTCCACGAGGGAAGATGGCTGCAGCAGTTCAGCCCAAGAACTTGTCCTGCCTGCTGCCTTATATTCTCCTCCCACTCCCATGATAAACACTGCCTAAAAACACTAAATTAGCTTCATCTTTAGACACCCATCTCTTTCTTTTTTTTTTTTTTTTTTTCCTGAACTCCTTAAGATTAACAAAGTTTTATTTAAGTTCTATTTAGCAAGTTCTGGCTAAGACCACATCACACAAACCCAATTAGGCAATGCCACGGCATCTGAAGGAACAATTTAAAGAGCAGATTTACTACACTACCTCAGCCCTTTGTGTTATTTTTACGCAGATACGCTCTCTCCATAAAGATGTTAGTAGATCAAATCTCCTCTGACACTTCCAAGACATGTGTCAAAAATTATATCCTGTGATAAGCAGTATATTGAAACAAAGAGACAAATATTTAAAGGACCTCATTTGCCTAAGGGAACAAATGAATGTATGAGAGGGAAAAGAAAGGAAAAATAAAAGGAAAACTCCTGAAGTGCTTCTAAGGAAGAAACTGACATTTTCAGGTCCTTCTCTCATTTATAATTTCGTTGCTAGAAGTGTGTCAACTTGTATTTACCACTAGCACTTCAGAAGTGCAAAAACCCCTTAAATAATCAGGTAGAAAACTAGGTTGTTTTTTTTTTTTTCTTTCTAATATGGAGTCTTTTCCACAACCATGCAAATGGCTTTTAGATCACATACTTTGTTTTTTATTAATCCAAAACTTATGGGAAACATTCATCTCTATACCAAAACCTACACTCTCCAGACTTTATTACTGCACTTTAAAGAAAACTACTGAGACATATGCATTGCATTTACCACCAGACATCACTACTCCTTGCAACTACACACAGTGAAAAAGGCCATTTTGAAGCCAGACACCAAGAGACCATGATAACTGCTCCAGCTGAGTTCCAACAGCAAAAATGCAGTTCTTTCCAGCTTGTTTTTAACATGACTTCCCATACTGTTGTTGTTTGAAAGTCCATTGTGATTCAAGAACTTTCACGACATTTGCCCATATTTAATAGGGTTTTCCTTCTTACTCACTTTTGCCAGGCAAACCTCTTAAGGAAGTGACTATCACATGAGGAAATTTGAAGGCTGTGTGGGTTCATTGCAATGAATGGACCGAAGACAGTAGGATACAAGATCTACTTGAGCATTTGCAACCTAGCTTACGAAGCTCAGATGGGAATAAAGTGCATTCCTCCATCGGATGAACCTGAGCCTCCCCATGGTTACACTGCCCAGTATACTAAATGCTGTATCACTGTGGCACACTACACTCATTGGCCAAGGATGTTAAAGGCCAAAAGCAGGGACCGGATCAAAACACTTTGACAAACTGAAGGGAAAAATCAGCAAGAACCATTAAACGGAAATGTGCAAGCACTATCTCAAACTTAAAAGACCCTGAAACACACAGTGGTGAGAAGAGATCCACAAAGTTAAGCCAGGAACACCGGCGTCAGTTAGAGACGTTTTAATTACAAAGCATGGAAAGGAGATACTGTAAGTAAAACATGAACTAGCAATAAGGATTCAATGTCTTTCCTTACCAAGGAAATAAGTAACCATTTTAGGAAACAAATGGTGCTTTAAGAGAGAACTACACAAAGACTACAGCTTCAAGAGAGCCTTAGCAGTAGCAGTCCCAACAGAGTAAATACACTATTGATAAAAGTATTACAAATATCAGCCTGAGCCTGTCACAGGGAATGAAAACTATTGAAGCTACACATATCAGCTATTCAAAAATAATTGCAGTAATTGATATGTTTCCAGTATAGAAAACCCATTAATAGAAACAGACTGCAAACGCTTCCTGATGAAAAGAACTTCAGGACACATTAAGAAATTCACCCCAATCCTATCACAGCAACAACACTGTTGCAATAGTAGTTTGGTCTTTACCAGTTCAAAGACCATCTCAAGACTTGAGTTCCATAGGGCGGCTGATTTTTTTTGTTTGTTTTGTTTTTAAACAGATTAAGATATAACTCCAAACATTTGTGAACTGCAGAAGTTTCACAAGCTCTCCTTTGAGGTTTGGTGTGCTTACTGTACTCAAGTGTCTCAACTTTTTAAAGTTTATTTAAGGAACATATGAATATTTGCCACTAAAGTTATCTATATATTTCTGTATCGTGGAACAACAGGATACCCTACACTGGAAGGACCCTTAAGGATCACAGAATGAATCACAGGATGAATCTGGTTGGAAGGGATATTAAAAATTATCTAGTTCCAACTCCCCTGCAGGGAAAGAACAGTCAACTCCAACCCCTGGCTTTATGCAGCACCACCCAAAACCAAGCCCTGTGCTTGAGAGCATTGTCCAAATACTCCTTGAACTCTGGCAGCATAGAGCCATGTCAAATGCCCTGGGGAGGCTGTGCCAATTGCCAGACCACCCTCTGGTGCAGAACCTTCTCCTAATCCCCAACCTGACCTCCTGTAACACAGCTCCTTCCTTCCTACTTATAGTGACATAGCCACAACATAAGACAGCAGTAACAAACAGTGCTATTTTAACACAATTTTTATTCATAGTAAATATGGCAAACTTATCAAAAGGCAGTTTACCAAGGTCAAATGCTAATTTTGAATAGTGTCCTGTGGCATAGGTATTTCAATATTTTATTGACAATCCAATTAGGAAACTTGCAGAAAAATAGAAGAAAATTGAGTAGAAATCAAGTGGCTCTATTCCCAAACACAGACCAACGCACACATGTTCAATGAAGTATAACAGAGCTGTACAAAAAGGTGAGTTAACAGCCAAGAGGAAGACGACCTTACTGACTAATGGGTCTGAAGGCAAAGTAGCAGCTTCTTTAATGCCAAAGAATCACTGCCCACTGAGCAACAGAAGGCTCCCCACGAAACCCCCCCAAGACAAGAGGCACTCCCAGCCCACTGTCCTGCTGCACCCTGCTCAGCACTACTGTGCTGCGAGACATCATCACACAGCAGCAAGCAGGGGAAGCATTTCCCAAGACACAGCTGCACTATCTGTGTTTCAGCGCTCAAAATTTAAGCTTCATTAAAGATAAATTGTGGAGTTCCAGAATTTCAAAGAAAACCACCACCACCTCTGAGCAAGTAGCACAACTTCACAGATCTTGCCTTATGGCATTCGGCTGTTAAACCAGTAACAACTGGCTTTCCCTTGCCCTGGACACCATTCTAAATACAAGGCTTTGTAATTATTCCTCTTTTTGCGTGATGCTTTTGACAATTAGTTTACTGTTACACACTTTTTAGCCTTATTATTTTACAGCTTTTCTGTGCTGAATTAGAAAAACAGATATAACTGTTTTCTTTTTGTACCAAAACACCATGCATGTACACAGCACTCCAAGAAGGAATAAAATAAAAGTTTGCTTGCAATTAAGTTAATCAGCTTTCATTCACAGTTAAGATAAAATCCCTAAGAGAAGTTCCCAAGCACAGACTAGCATCAGCACATCACTGATATGATTTTCAGCAGCTGGAACGATGCACTCAAAAGCACCGGGAAGAGTTAATGCTCAGCTTGTACAGAATGTTTCATTTCAGTTGGATGGAAGGCTTTCCTCTTCCTTTTCCCCATATCCAGAACATCTACTTTCTTTATGTTCTGCTCCCTCTATGGAGAATGAAAGCTTGTAAAATTGTTTGCTCGTGGTGTCTGTTTCCCTGATGCTTCATTACTTCAATTCTCACTTAAGAGGAAAGCCCGTCTATGTGTGTTGGTGTATACATCTATACACACATCTACACACATACTTTTTCCAACTATCTATATTTCTGACAGTCAGTACTCCTGTGGGAGCGATTACCAGGTACCTTTAAAAACAATTTCAGAAAATTCGTTTTCTTCCCCTTTTTTCCCCTTCCAATTAAAGACTTTCCACAGAAAGCACTCACATCTTCACAAAAGCTATTTTGGAAGGGTGGATTAACAGCTCAGTGACTGTTCCACTGAGCTTCATGACATATGGAGAAAAGATGGCTGAAGCTACAGCAAAAA